GGAGGAGGAAGAGGTGGGGGTATAGGGATGGGGGGCTGCTGGACTGGGAGCCGTTGCTTAGGTTCTTCTACAATAGGAGGACGACGAGGGGCGGGGGGAGAGGGAGGTGGGAGCACCTTCCTGACAGGGACGGGCGACTCTGGGGGAATTATGATCTACAGAAGAGGAGAGAAAAACAGAAAGAGGGAACAAAGAAAGGAAAACGTGCAGGAAACTGAAGGTGAAAACTAATATTTGGGAAAACTGCTGAGCACACTGAAGCCAACCTTATCCACCTCACTGCCGGCAGCGTCAAGGCGGAAGCGCTGGGGTTTGGAGGTGACGATGACCCCCTCCGTCAGCCAGTCATCGGACTGTTTGCGTCGGCGCTCTGAGCGCCCGATCCCGAACTTCCCCTGAAGCTCCTCTATGAGGCGGTCCTGAGAGCTGTTCTTGTTCACAATGACGGGTCCCATCTTCCTGCGCAGGTGAGCGTCCCGGTACATCGGGTGCACGTTGGGAGTCTCCTTAGTGCGCCGGATCACTGATTTAATCTGAGAGGGAATGTGAGCATCGTATCATACGTCCACACAGACGCAGCTGCAGCAGCTCTGCAGCAGGCCGGGATGCAGAGGTCAGCACTCGCATGCTTTACAACTGTGCCACACCCACCCACGGACCCCCTCCCAGCGCTCCCAGTCTGTCAAGCAACTTCACAACACGTTAGAGCCGCGTTAGAGTCCTTCACACAGAGCAGGTCAGGAGGATTGTGGTCCACGTGTGCCATGCTGGTACCGACAATCAGTGAGTTACGTGTGAGTGCAGCGCCACCGCGAGAGAGAGACTCTGGTTTCTGTCATCTTTCTCAAACACTGAGGGTCGATATTAAAGCCCTAAATGTTTAACACCTGGTTTGCTCAAAAATGTACGTGGAAACAAACTCCATCACAAATTAGGCGAGAAACTTGATAGTTCTGCTCAAAACTTATTTATGATCTTGCTTTTAATAAAATCCTCTTTTTTACATCCGTTGTTATTTTTCATACTTTTTTATGGTTTTCATACCATAAGTTATTTTTCTAAACTATTATTAACTTGATTTTGTTAATAATATTAGCATTTTTTATGATTTTATTTTCTCTTTCAGATTCATCCGTTTACACAGAATCAGAACTGCAGATGGATTCACACAACACCAATTTACAGCTTAGCTCTTCTCTTACAAAACTTTAGCTTTAATTATCTACAGCTGAACTGCTTTCATTTTAAAGAAAGAAAAGAGAGCTAAAATCTGACTTAATGGGTGGTTTAATGAACTTTTCTTTTAGTAATTTTCCTTTTTGTACTTTGAGGGAGAATGACAGCCTTTCCATTTTATATATTTATGATGTATTATCTGTGCCTTCCTGTTTTTAATACCTTTAACCGACAGTGCTAACTGAGACTAGAGAGACGATACTGAAGGCTAACAAAACAATCCTCGTCGTATGTTAACACACTAATGATTATATTTAGTACGTTAAAGAAAAGCCTCACAGATTCAGAGACACAACATCTGCTGTGGAAACTGTTGAGTTGTAGTTACACATGAGAACATCTAAATGTATTTACCAAAGATAAATACATGGAATCAAACATTTGTTTTTAGCCTCATACTTTGACCGATTTGTGCTCAGTTAGTACTTTAAGTGCTGTAAAGGAAATAAGCAGATTCCACTGTGGACATTAAGTATAAGAAATATTTGGTGTCATGTTTCAGCTCACAGCAGATGCTAGCTGGTACAGAAGCATTACAGCACAACAATCCGAGTGGTGTCAGGCAGGAGTGGAGATGCATACATGTCCGGACGCAGACAATCGGTCCATGTTTGGAGTCTGCAGCAGGGGCAGGTCCAGGGAAACGTCAGGGGTCCCGGGGCATGAAGACGGGGTCATGGACTCATCCATCCAGCTGGCCTCTGTCATCGGGGTCATGCTGCCGTCCGTGTACGGCCTCTCGGTGTAAGGCGTCATGGTGCCATCCAGTCCGTCGTGGAAGGACATGGACAGGTCCTCGTCAGCCCAGTCCAGGTCCCCGTTCCCGTCGGTGCCTCCGTCCACAGACTCGTCGGTGATGGTGTTGGTGGCGCTGGTGAACGTGTCCGGCTGCACGCTGTTTCTGTCCATGGGCAGGATGAGCTCCTCGTGCACCTCCTGCATTCCTCTGCCCAGACACCGCGCCTCCATCTGCAGCTGCGGCTCCTCCGCTGCGTGGTTCTGCACAAAGCTCATAGCGAGGAGTTTGTCCAGCGCCTCGTCCAGGGACGGCTCCACCGCGGGTTGCTGCTGCAGAGCGGGCGGCGGCTCCAACAGCTGTCTGCTGGGGCAGGCGAAGACCGGCGGGGAGAGGACACTCGATCGAGAGACCGAAGATGGTGAGGAGGTTTTTGAGGAAGCATATGCGGAGGGGGGAGATATGGAGAGAGCAGCAGGGAGTGGGGAAGGAGTCTTCGGAGCTGATTGAGGAGGGGTGAGGTTGTTCGAAAGAGGCGGACTGCAGAAATTCAAATCCAGGTCATGAAAAGAACCCTTGCTCATAGTCTCAGGAGCACAGGAGAATTTACCGACAGTATTTGAGGGCGAGACGCGCTCTACAGATGGACTAGGGGACTTGTGGTCCAGGACGGTGTTAACGGAGGTAAGCGAGGGGGTGGTGGTGGTATTGGACGGACTTGGGCTGTTTCTCGTTACGTTGGAGTTAGAGAAAGCGGACTGAGAGAGGACTAGCAGAGTCTTGGTTTGGGATGACAGCATGGTGGCAGAGACATCTATGACAGAGTCCAGGTCTAGGTCACTGGCTGCAGAGAGCGAGGACATAGGACTGTGGGGAGGGAGGCGGTTCGGATGGGACATGGACACGCCACCGTCTCCTCCGTCCTCGTCTATGTGCAGCTCTAGACCGGCAGGAAGAGAGAAGACAGGAGAGGCACAGGCAGACGGGTGGGACAGAGTGAGGAAAGGAGAAGCCACGGAGGGAGAGACTGGAGGATGAGGAGAGCTGGAAGAGGCTCCCACTGGGTCCAGCAGGGAGCCCAAAGAACTGGGCTAGAGGACAGAGAAGCAGAAGCAGGATAAGAGGAAGAGGACAGAGAAATCATCAGGAATATGACAGGAGAAGAGTGCGTTTTGTTGATGAAGTGAAGCCTTCCTCGCGCTGCGTTGTACCTTGAAGTCTGACAGAGAGGCCATCAGCTCGTCCAGCTCTCTTGTGGCGCAGGACGCTGAAATTCTGGCTTGCTGCTGAGAGGGCGTGTCCAAATCGCTGTGGCGAGCCGGGGGGCTGGAAAATACAAATTATGCAGTGGGTGTCATTGATCATTCATATAAATCCATCTTAAGGTCCCACTGCAGTGGAGAGACCGTGTACCTGGGCGAGGGCACTGAACCCTCCAGCTCGTCCAGCAGACTCTCCACGGAGGGTCGGGCCTCGTCCAGCCTTGTCCCGTTCCTTTTGGGTTTCTCCTGAGGGGGTGGGCTCACCGTGATGTCAGGGCCGCCGCCGTTCTCGTAGTGGGTGATGCTGCAGGATGGTAAGGGTGGCGCCGCCTCCTCTGTGGACACAGGACAGTACAGCTAATTCTGCTCAGCGCACACAGAAGAGATGAGGCTGGGGGGGCTTTAGGGCCTACCTGTGGTGGGGAATGAAGGGGAGCTTTGCTGCACGGCGTTTAGCTCCAGCAGCAGCCTGTCCAGCTCTGACAGGTTGCTGCCCAGGGCGGAGGTCATGGCTGCTGTTGACGAGTCTGAAGACTTCTGTTTGTTTGGGAAACTGAAGAGGAGACAGAGACTGCTCATAGCAACTAGCAGGTAAAAGAAAGTGACAGATGATACGCACAACATTTCAGAGTGTGACAGGATACCTGTAGACGTGGTCCTCTTCAATGTGAGACAGTGGAGAGCTGCTGCTGTCCCTGGACCATGAGCTCTTCTGGGCTGAACCTAACGACTGCAGAAGATTCAGCAGTCAGAGAACAAAGTGAGAAGTTTCACGGAGTTAACACCAGCATTGTTTTGGTCTGCAGTATGGGAGCATTACGCAGACAGGAATATAAGAATAAAAACAGCAGTAGTGTAGTAGCAGAGAGAGAGAGAGAGCTTAAGGCTATCATAGCAAAGCAACAAGCAGTGTACCAAAACTGTAGTTTGTGCTATGTCACTTGTTCTGTGATATGCTGATGAAGGACTTTGGTTTCACAGAGAAACATGAGTTCAGGATGAGTTATAAGCTCACGCTGCAGAGACGTACCTGCTGAGAGGAGTGGTGGGAGTCCGGCTGATCGATCAGAGACCCGTTCAGAGCCTCGGCTGAGGGCGGAGGAGGAACCGGAGGTGGAACCGACACATCCTGGTAGGAGTGTCCTGCGGTGGGGATGGAGTACGGGGTCTCGTCAGACAAGAACACGGGTCGCTTTGAGATGTGGGACGTAGTAGATTCCAGGTCCGCCAGCAACGCGTCTGAAAGATTGGACAGTTCCAGTTTTACTACACGTCAAAGTGATGTACTATAGAACGGCAACGATTGGTCGATTACATCATTACATCAATCAGCAATTTTTAAGACAAAATAACAAAATTCTCTGATTTCAACTTCTCAAATATGAATATTTTCTGGTGTCTTTTGTCCTCTGTGACAGTAAACTGAAATAAAATGAAGACGTCACCTTGGGGCCTAGTCAACATTTTTCAAACTTTAATAACAACTGATTGATTTAATGAGAAAAGATAAATCAAAAATGAAAATAATCATTGCAATAAAGCAGTGCAATTTCATTTAAACCAGGGATTTTTTGACTGGGGTCCAGGGACCAACAGGTAGTGATGGAAAAACATTTTATTGATACCATCATAACAACAGTTTTAATCTCTGAACCTGGACACAGTGTAGAAACAGAGCAGAGCTCACTGTAGCAACAGGCTGCTGTTCAAATATAGAGGTTATAATCATTAAATAAATATCATAAACGTGCCATTACTAGTCAACCAGGAAAATCTTTAGTCGGGGGGCAGCTGCAGTCCCCAACTTACATACAGTCGGCCATTTTCATTGACTGTACTGTTCAGTGATCCGAGTTAAAGGGGATTCCTTAAAATAAAATCCTCTCAAACTGAGGGTCCTTCAAAACGTCTGGGATTTAAACAACAACCTTCATCAAACTCAGACACTGATTCCTGGAAGCAAACAGAACCGGGCTGCAGTCCAGTGGATTCTTTACTGGGGCTGCTGGGAGCTCTGAGGCGACTCCTGAATGTGGTGTCAGGCTGTAAACAGACAATGGCAGCGAGTCCGAGTCTCTCCTTCCAGCCTGCCACCAAAAAAAGCTTTCATCCAACAGAGAGGTTAGTCCGCATGACCGGCAGTACATCACCGAGACCAGATCCATACCTAAACCCATTAGGCCTTCAGGAAATCTCCCCCTGAAATCCCCAACATACTTTTTCCATCAGTCGGCACTATAAATACAACCCTGCTGACAGTGAGCTACCTGTCTGTCTGTCTGTCTGTCTGTCTGTCTGTCGGTCTGCTGTGAGAGACGCTGATTTCTGTGTTGTGAGTGTGAACTGACAGGAACACAGCAGCAGTCAGACAGAAGTGTTTCTGCGTCCAGGGTTGAAGGGGTACAGCGTTACCCTGCTGAGTGTTCACAGGAACGCAGGAACAAAATAGACTCTTACATCACACAATCCATCCATCCTCAGGCCGTCCAGAATAGACGACCGCAGTCACCGGCTGCGTACGGTTACACTACAGCGGCTGGGAACGGTGGCTTCAGGGAATCACTGCACTTTTAAAGAGGGGTGCAAACTACGGCTGCACGATGTGGGAAAGACATCGTACAGAGATTATTCTACAATATATGATTCACCATTAGTGTGACAATGATCCTTTCTGTATAAGGTTAACAGTTACTAGACATAGTAATATCTCTAACACATAGGTTGAGTTTGTGGATTTTTTTTTGTGCGGGGTGGGGTGGGGGTCTTTGTATCCAGCAAGAAGTCATTGTGAAATCTGGAGACCAAGACTACAGTATTTCATTATAATGCTGTTATTTTGTACCTTTATTTAAAACCTGCAGCTTCAGTGATTTGGATATTTCACTCGTCCATATTGTTAAATTTTTAATAATGTTTCTATTAACTCTGCAACCCCAGGAGCAACACATCACAGAACTCACTGTTTGGGTCGTATCACAGTTGTAAGTCACCAGTTCATCATCAGTTTCATCAGTTTTCAGCAAAAAACTGTACAATAAAGCAATTGATTATACTGTATAATAATCAATCAATGCGAGCTGCTGTGAATCGAGCTTAAGGCAGCTGATATTTTCGAAGTTTCCATAAACATCACAATCTATTGATCTATTTCTACGACCACCATGAGCAGTTTCCCAGTTACACACATCGACGTATAAAAGATGGACGTCTCCGCGTACAAACGAAGCCAAAATATCCTGATACGACAGCTGCCATCTTTTATAATTCAGATAACTAATTAAAACCAAACTGATCAGAACAATGAACACACATCAGAATGACCTAAAACGACAAGAAACCATGTTTGGGAAAAAAATGTATCTGATTGTTTTAGTTTGTCCTATGTGCTAACACAGATGCTTTATGAGCGATACTGCAGTCAGCCACCAGGGGGCGATACAGAGGGTTTGGCTTCACTTCTATAAAGCTGTCATGACTTCCATCTTTATAAATGTCAACAGTAACATCGCTGAAAATACCCAGAGTCCAGGGTGGGAACTGCAGCTGGGCTCCTCTTAATAAGACGTGTGCAATTTTGGGAGTTCTCTAAAATACTGACAATAAGATATTTCTGCGATGCATTTCTATTTTTCTGTATCTTCAGAATCCTGACTTATGTGTAAAATTAGGATATTATTTTTATTAATATATGTATGTGATTAACTTGTTATATATCAGATGTGCTGAGGGAGCTCCTGTAGGTCGCACACTGCCTACAGGATTTTAGCCAATAAGGAAAGTGCTTCAGAGTGAAACACAGAGGGAAGTTTATGGTTAAATTTGGTTCTGTAGCTCACATGCTCCACTACTGAACCACTACCTTTAAACTCAATACGCCAGTGAAGAAACAATGAACATATCACTAAAATACAATCTACATAAGTTCACTGGAAGTTATTTCTGGAAACAATATAACTCAGCAAGTAAAAGAATAATAATTCTTGACGTTTTTAATGATTTAACACAAACAAAGGTGGGACATTACCCACTAACTATTATCACTGATATCTGAATCAAATACTGTAAATACTCAACCATTCTTTCACACAGTGTCACATTAATCCTACTATTAGTCAGCACTCAATATTTGACTTAAAGACTTTAGTTGAGGTTAGAGGACACAGAAAGCCTCCTTACTGCTCACTTCATTCAAACCATCCACAACCAAGTGAGCAAAGAAACTAAATACAGAGAATATTTGTCAAATCAAGTCGTCAGGCTTGATTCCTTCGTCTGTGCCAACATTAATCTTATAATGAAACAAAAAGAAGCGGTTTCCAGTAATCCAGGGACACAAACATTTAAAAGCCAGAATCTGTACTCACATTAGTTTTTCCACCTGCTGTATCTGTAATATCCTCCAGGAAAGTCTAATGTTGGTTATAAAGCCCCAAAATCACAATTTCCTTCAGTTTCAGGCTTAAAGGAAAAACCCAGAGGAAGAGCCACAGAGGAGGGACCTCTCTCCCAGGACGGACTGACGTACACTCGATTTCACGCCTACAGGCAGGACAGTGTGTGTGTGTGTGTGTGTGTGTGTGTGCGCAGTGATAACATGCTGCCAGTTTAAATTGGTGACAGGACCCTTCAGTGTCTTAATAAACACTATCTCCCCAATTAAAACATTCTCACTCTTAAATCTGCATTTATAAATAAATACAGCCAAAAGGACTGTAGCTTTACAGACTTATGTCGTTATGTTAAAGATTTTCTTCTGTTTATGTCCCCTAAAATGACAACCATTGACTTTACTGACTTGTATCTGTGCAGTTTGGTCACTAGAGGTGTTTCCACTCTACTGAAGAGGGAAATGTTTGTACGATACCATTCAGTCTTATGGAG